ACTCGCTTGGGTTGTTTGTAGATTTATTTCCTGTGGCGGTGGAACTGCTGACCTGGGGACTCAGCTTTCTGCTGGTCGTCCTCAGCTCCTAGAGATCACCCACAGTTCCTCATCATGTGGTTCTGCCCACAGCCCCTCTCACAACATGGCCGCTTGCTTCTTCCAAGCCAAGAAGGGAAAAAAATCTCTAGAGTTTGGTAGCACGACAGAATTTTACATAACGCAACAACCAGGGGAGTGACATTCCATTTCCTTTGCCATATTTGAGTGGTTAGAAGCATGTAACAGGTGGTGCCCACAGCTGACAGAGGATTGTACTGAGATGTGAATACCCAAAGGCAGGGATGACTGGGAGCCTGTGTTCCCTACCGTAGCTGTGTTCCAATAAAACTTCATAAAAATAAAGGGTGAGAGGCTGGACATAGTTTGCTGACCCCTGGAATAATGAATAAGGTGTAGAAAACATTGTTTAAGGTAAGAGACAGAAACTCATAGACTAGAGGGAGAGCAAAGGATTGGTCAGAACCAGGGGAGCTATGTAGAAAGAGAATCCTAGAAAAGCAATTTCAAATTCTGAGCCTATCCTATAATATACAGATTATCTTACCTTATTAATAAAAAATTGAAAGTGAGATAGATTGGCATTACATTTGAATCCAGTGATCATGGGACAGAGTTGTCACTGGAAATCCAGTAAATTTAAAGGGAAGCGGCTTCATAACAGGGTTTCTGCAATTCTGACTTTAATTCAAACCTACCTGGAACAATTTCAATAGAAACCCTGGTCATTTTCTTAATGACTATGAAAATGACAGCCAACATTTATTATGCGATTATCACAAATCAGGAATTATGCTGTTTACCATGAATTCTCTCATTTAATCTATACAAGCACTCCCATGTTATGTAGATTATTTTTATTCCCATTACAAAGTAAGGAAACTGAGCTTGGATTAAATGGAGCACCACAAAAAGTAGTGGAACTAGGACATGACTCTCTATCCTGAGGGTCCAGACACTTAAATTGTATTTCTAGGGTAAGAGGACCCCTTTGCAGGGTTCTAAGCAGAGAGATGGTGTAATTACTGTGACTGATGTTTCAGAAATATCAGCCCAGTGTGAAGAGTGGATTGAAGTGGGGTAAAGTGGAGGCAAGAAGTCCAGGGCAAAGATGGTGGAATAGCCTGGAAAAGGCAGTGCCCTGGAGATATATTTGCAAGCCATTTTGGTAGTAGAAATGACAAGATATGTGACCAGAGTGTCGTGGATCTTCTTCGGTTCCCGAAAGGTGCTAATAAGCCCTTTCCAATCTCTGGGATGCTGGATGGGCCATTCTCTGTGTCCGGAATGCTTTTCACTCTAGTCTTCCATTATTTACTCTCTTCTTCAATTGCTTTGTTCTATCTCATTGCACAGGACTCACTTCAAGTATCACTTCCTCAGAGAATCTTTCCTTGATGCCCAATCTAAACTTGGTCCTATCTCTGATTTTTCTTTTAACAGAAGCCAATTGTTTTTCATCCCATACTTGTTCACAATTTATTGCATTTTCTTGCTTTTTAAAAATTGAATGTTTAAAATATTATGTTTTAAGAAGCCAGAAACCATATTTATTTTGTTCAACATTGTTAACACGGTGCTAGCATATGAAGTTCCTAAAATCATAGGCACTCACTGAGTATTTGTTGAGGAAATGAATGTCTGACTTCAGTGTCCTTACACTTAAATACTGTGCTAGTGCCTCTCCCATTTGCTGATTATAGAAGAGATCTCCTCTTTGATTCTTCTAGAGTTATCAGCATGAAAACCCCAAGTAATTAGTGATGTTCCAGTGTCCAATTCTCTCTCACCTGATGCTGTTCCCAAAACCTGGTCCCAGGTTAAGGAGAATGTGGACAATGAAACGCACAGTAGGAGAAAAGGGTGATGAAGTTGTTCTGAGGCAGGTGAATTCTCCTTTACCATTGGAGATGGTATAAATGAATATGGGCCATGAGTTCAAGCCCCATGTCAGGCTCCATTTTGGGTATGGAGCCTATTTAAAAATAAATAAACACATAAATAAATAAATGCAAGTATAAGCATACACAAAAAGGCGTGTGTGCATGTGTGTATGCGTGTGTATTTGCATAAGACGTCTGAAAAGATACAAACCAAAATTTTCAAGTAGTTGAGTGAGCACTTTTGGGAAGTGGAGTAAGACTGGCAAAACAGGAACTTTTTTTTTTTTTAAACTAAGGGCAACTATGATTTTTGTAATAAAATACCATTAAAGATAAAAATGGAAAATAAATCTTCATACTTCTTATTTAATCCCACCTCTAGTAATTTGTAGTAATAAAATAATAACAGATGTGGTCCAGGGGTTATAGATATAATGATATGACACCAGTGAGTTCTGTACTATGTTAAAAAATGAAAATAGTCTAAACATCCAACAACAGACTGGAAAACTACATAAAGTGTAGCTCATGCACATGGTGGGTTATTTAATATATACTGAAATTATGTTTTAGGTAGTAAGGACAGGAAAAATGCTCATGTATAATGTTACACAAAGCAAAGTATGAATCTGTATTTATGGCATTATTCCAATGTGTTAGGAAAAGAAAAAAAAGAGAGAAAAAAGAACGAGAGGGACACCTGGGTGGCTCAGTTGGTTGGGCATCTGCCTTCAGCTCAGGTCATGGTCTTGGGGTCCTGGGATCGAGTCCCACATCAGGTTTCCTGCTGGGTGGGGGGGGTCTGCTTCTCCCTTTTCCTCTGTCTGCCGCTCTGCCTACTTGTGCCCTCTGCTCTCTTGTGTGTTTTCTCTCTCTCAAATAAATAAAATCTTAAAAAAAAGAAAAAGAAAAAAAAGAACGAGAAAGATATATGGGTAGGAAAAAAACCACTTCAGTAGAATCTACCAAAATGTCATTAAATGGCTGTTTTGGATGATAAGAATCTACTTTAAGGTTACTTCTTTGTGAGTTTTGGGTTTTCCTCATTAAAAAGAAGCACAAATTACTACTGGAACATTGCAGGTATTACTTGTAGTAGGGGTAAAATAGTACAATGGTTCCTTTCTAGCAAGTAAGTCTATTTGTGTTCAAGCCTCACGCCAGGCACTCAAGTAAGAGTGCTGGGAGAGGAGCTTCCAGCACTTGCCTCTCCAAGTCCCTTATTTCTATGAAAAGGTCACAGGTATTCGGCACTGTTTGGGAATGATATTTTCTTTGACCTGTGTATCAGAGCAATGGTGGTGCCTTAAGGAATGAAATGATCTGCAATTAAATATATTTCAAGAATAGTTATGTTCTTAGTTGGAATTAGACCTTCTATTAGGCCTTTCTTCAATGCCTTTGGTCAGACTTTCTTGAACTAGACTCCTGGAGAGGAAACTATTTACTACATTTTTGCATAGTTTTAGATAATACTCCTAGAGAGTATAAAACCAGGTCTTTTAGGGAGCATAAAACGAGCTACTAATCGAGAATTTCATTTTGGACTGTCACGTTTAGTTTAGATACCTACATGGGAGTTAAATTGGCCATTAAACCAATGAAAACTTTCAACTATCCATATGGTCACCGTCAGGAGAGTCTAACAAATTCAACTTGAGATGATGTATGTGTTTTTGTATATAAGAAGTCTGAAGGAATAGTTATGAAAATGTTTAAGTAGTCAGGTAGCTCCCTCTGGAACTGGCAGAATAGAGTGTAACAAAATAAGACAGCTCCCATAAGCTACATATGGAAATAAATGCCGCTGTATTATAAACAAGTTTTCCAGATAGCGTATCAATGGACATTAAAGAAACTTTTCAAATTAATCAACTACAGACAGCAACTGTAATATTACTTTCTGAAATCATCCGAACTCCCAATTGTTCTCATCAACGACATAAAGCACACATACAAAGAAAGGCACAAATTCCATACAGTGAACATTTACTTGAGGGACCATCAATGCAGATACCTCACAGAAGGAATGTGATTTAATTTCAGTGGCTGGCTGTTAACCATAGGACATTTCTGAGATCAAATACCTTCATATGAAGTCACGTTTGACTCAAATCAATGTATACGACTCCCCCAATTTCTCCCCTCCCGTCTCCCCCTCCCACCTGCTCTGTCTCTGTGGAAACAACAGAGAAAAAATATTTCATTCATAAAAAATTCAACTGGTAATATTTTTCTTTTTCTTTTTTTTTTTTAAGATTTTATTTATTTATTTGACAGAGAGAGAGAGAGAGAGATCACAGGTAGGCAGAGAGGCAGGCAGAGAGAGGGGGAAGCAGGCTCCCTGCTGAGCAGAGAGCCCGATGCGGGGCTCGATCCCAGGACCCTGAGATCATGACCTGAGCCGAAGGCAGAGGCTTAACCCACTGAGCCACCCAGGCGCCCCCTCAACTGGTAATATTTTTATAGGCAACCATACTCACGTTTATATACAATCACAGTATAAGATACTGTGTACTTCAGTTCACCTAATTCTAAAACATAAAAATTTTATTGACTTAAATTAATTAACATATTTATAGAAAGAAAATATAAAAGGTATCTGTTTTTGGAATTTTAAGGATAACTATTTAGCACTCATGACAATTATTTTTATTTATGATCAGAATCTCTCCCTTACTATGAAGTGAATCATTATTAATTTGCAGTACAAAGAAAAGCACACAGAAACCTGGACTATTATTAGATCATTACACTCAGACCAAAAAAATTAAAGTGCACATAGAAGCTCACACTGGAATTAACTGATTCACTACCACTAGCTCTACTTCAGATTTTGTTCCTATGTTATTTCCCAAGCAAAACATCATTATATTCAAGGAAAAACAAAGTATCTGACTGCCCTTGCTTGCTTTCTTGCTTTAATGAGGTAATGACTGGAGTTTTGTATTCTAAGGTACATAGTATCCCTTGTCTCTGTGGACCCTCCTTGATACATAAAGGTGTCGTCTAACATGTAAAAAATGAGCAGGTCAGGCAATAAAGCAAAAACAAGACGGTAATAACAATATGGTATTTACTGTTTCCTTCCAAGCGAATGCATTCTTAACAATTGTTTGCCGCTGGCTCACAGGAGGAGAGAATGGGTATTAGAAGCTCTCGAGACAATGATTTCCCTTGACTGGTATTACTCTAAGAAGCGGTAAGCCCTGGTTTACAAGAGGAAAGCTACCAAATCCTTCGCAAAACAGAACCTGGCAGCCCATCTTCGGGGCAGAATGATGAGGTGGCAGGAGTGTGATGGAGAAGCCAGTCTTCGGGAACAATCACGTGAGGGAATCCAGCTGCGCTTGTATGGTCTCCAGCTATTTAGACAGAGGAAACGAGAGAAAAGTTGCTAAAAGGCGAGAAATGCCTACAAAGGGCTGCTCAGAAACTTGCCGAGGGGAGGGACAGATCAGCCGCAGCGACCAAGCAAGTTACATCCATTCGCACAGCAACAGATTCACCACGTAGGAAAGTTTTCTTTTCATAAGAAGCTATTAGAATTCATGGCTGTGATCTACGTTTTCCAATGCGTCAAGGAAGATTTCTAAATTTGACTCTTTGAAATACCCCCGGCTGCTTTAATTTAAATGATCACTACATAAGACTTTTGAAGAAGGGTTGGGGGTAGGGGGAGTGCATCTTCCTGGCTCACAAAGTCAGGATTTGGAAAGAAACAAGGACATTCACTCAAAGATAAAACTTCACAGGCCTGGCACCTCCCTTTCCTCTTGGGCCCGGAAATTAAACTATTTAACGTTAAATATACCTAAAGTGCCAGTGTGGCTAGGTATCACATAGTTCATTACGAATGCTTTGCTTTAAAGTAACAATCCTATTGCTTTAATTAAAACCATTTCCACTTTCTTCCTGATTTAGTTTGTCAGATTCTCTTCATCTCGGCAATGCTTCCTGCCGTGAAACATACGGTGTTTACAAGGGATGTTTAAAGAACTTCGCTCCGTAATAGGTCATTTAAAAATAAGAATTCATAAAAAGAAGGCAACATTATGTAAAACTCCACATAGCAGAAATTATTTTAAAAATACAGACCTTGTTATAGAAATCAAACAACTCCTTGTGACTGAATTCCACAAGAACTTTCTCCACACTCTGTATGGAAGAAGAAGAAAGAAGAACGAATTTAGTTGTATCCAATGTTTACTCCAGTTTTTTCTCTCTGGATAGCCCCAGAATATGCCCTATTATTTTCTGAGTGGTTTAAAAAAAAATACTTACCTGCTTCACTCAACCCCACTGTTCTAGAACTCACAGACGCGCTTAATGACACTCCACTTTAGCAAAAGGTTTCAACTCTACAGGGACATCTGTTCTTTAAGTTGCCTCCACAAAGGTTAATAAAATAGAAGCCAGTAAAGAGAACAATTTCATTCTCTATTTTTTTTTTCAAGATAGAGATAATATATGAGATTGTATTTCATCTTTCTCAGCAGTCCATTTGGAATCTAGCAAATACCATTACACAAAGACACTGGAGGCGGCCTATCTGATTGAACTCATCCAGCCATTAATGCCTCCCGTCAGCACAGCTGCTGCCTCCAAGCATTAATCTAGCAGTTATGATCTTAACATGCTGAGATGGTTACCTTTTTTAAGGTACAGACTCAGCAAAAGTTCACAATTAACATGACAGCTTCAAAGTGAAGACTTAACCAAGCTCCTTCTTTCCCTCAGATGTGACAGGGGAACCTTCGTGGGAGCTGTGGGTGCTGAGAGACACTGGGCACGTCTGCATAATGGCGCAGCAGAATGCAACGGGGATCTGGCCCCCCACAACCTGCTTTGGGATGACCTTGTAAACTGAGGGAACACTCAAAGTAGCTCCTGAAGATTGGTCAAATGTGTCTGTTTTATTCAAGGTACTTCTGGCAAGCGCAAGTTAATGAAGAGAGAGAATGCCAAGAATGGGCTTCCCACTCTGATCACACTGTTGTGCTCACAGGACATCAAACGGGCACCATGAACTGAAGAGCGGACAGAGGCTGAAAACAGACATGAATTCATGTACTTCATTGCTTGTAGTCATTTCCAACATTCTCTTAATTCTACTTCTGTTTCTATGGCTACTTTTTTCTTTGTTTTATCTGTTTTAATGGTTTCCATTTCTACTTACAAAGCCAACATTTCCAAAACAAAGTATCTCCAGCTAACTGAGGAGAGTCAATGGGGCTGTGTTTAGATGTGGCACCTCCCTTCTCAAGAAGCCAAGGAACAGAGGATTAAATTCCACACTTTTTCTTTGCTCTTGTAACACCTACCTAAGCAGTTAAGCTTTAAAATGAATCAAGAAGCAGATCTGCCTTAAAGCCTGTTCCTTTAGGAAGGAGAAAAAAGTAGCAGGCTAACTGACACACATCATTGAACCTTCAAAGGTTGAAATCAGCATTATCTAGCAGTGCTATATTTCCTCCCAGCAGTTAAAGGGAAAAGACAGGCCTCAGTTTACCCTGTGGAAAAGCAAGGCAAGTTCATTACTCTCTCATCAATCCAAACGGTGGGGTTGGGGGGAGAGAACAAAGAACTGAATCAGTTTGTGAACAACTTGATTTGCTATACATACACCCGGGGGTCGTAGCCAAGCTGGGTTCTTGGATCCTGGATTTTGCTTTGTTTCAAGTTAGTATTTTCTAAAAGGCTGCACTGAGGAAAGGGAAGGAAGGTGACTTTGAAAACATACTTCCTAAAATAACAACAGCTGAAATAATGTGTGTGCCCATGTGCACGTGTGTGTGTGTGTATGTGTTTATACGGCAGAGCTATGTATATAAATTTAGTGTCTTGCTTTACTGAAATACTTAGCCCCAAGAAGGGAAAATGCTGATACCCGAGATAAAATATGCAAAGAACTAATACCAATGTCTGGCAGGTATAATCACTGATAGCTATTATCATTATCTTTTCCCATTCAACTCGCAGTGACTTAGGGAAGACCGTGAAAATATGAGAGAATACAGGAATGGCTTTAAGTGTTCCATGTCATGTGTACAGAGATTATTCTTAGAATTTAAGAATCTACGTTTACCCAAGGGGTGGGCAAGGGCAGTTGTTGAAGGAGGGTAACGATGGAACTTGGACAGATATGTAGGACAAAAAGGAAAGGGGGACTGGCTAAGAGCCAAGTCCTCACATTGTCACGCTCTGACATGACACCCCAGAGAGCCCAAGAATTCTAAATCCAAATCTCGCCTGCCAGGACATTACTGAAGGTATATTATCAAGAAAGCAGTATAGGTTGCATTTACTCAGTAGTTTGGTAACTTTATTTATGACTTTACATTTAGATATATGGCCCAAGGCCTCCATTTTTACTCCTGCTTTAGGTCCCACAAATATTAGGAATGGGTGTGATCAAAATCCTTCCTTGGACCATGACATTTTTAAAAGGAAAACACACTCTGAGACTTCTTCGAGAATTTAACTAGAAAGTCACAAATCTGCTTTATCAAACCACAGTCAACTCTCTAGCTTCATTTCTCTTCAGAAAATGTATGGAAGGTTCAGTTCACTAAGGAGGCATGTTTTCAAAAAACTTCTCTTCAGTTTTATGTCTGGACACAAATCAGTGGCCGTCTAGACCCAACAAGGATGTAAGTGCATTAAGTTTAATAAGAATCCAATTAATAGTATTTCAGGGGTGCCTGGCCTTGGATTGTCTAGCTCTAACACTCTGGGCCTCTGACTCAACTCATGGTTCATTAGTATCTTTGTTAAGGGAAGAAGAGAAAATAAAACTGATATTCAAACCAGTGCCATCTCAGCTATCAGTCCCAACTCTAACAACAAGCTTTCAGGAGGAAGATGCAGAAAATCCTGGCTACAGTTTTATAGGCTATATTCGACGATGGGCTTAATTATCCATGTGCTGTCTATCACTGTCAATAGATGATGAGACTTGACTATTTGGTCCTGTTTTTTGTTTTTTGTTTTTTTTTTTCCCCTTCCAAAGAGTCAAAAAGATAGTCTGGACAATAAACTGTAGCTACTATGTCATACTAAATAAGAAGAGAAATAGCTTAGTGACATAAAATGATAGTTGCAAGTAATCAAAATGCACCGTCATTTTATCAATCACATGTCAAAAGTATTTTCAACTTGGACTACACACCTCTAATCACTTGGTGAAAGAAAGTAATACATGTATGTATTTTTTAATGTACAGGTATATATAGATATATCTTAGGTAGTACTGTATTTCGCTTTTTACAAAGTCAAATGTTTAGGGAAGAAGTTTATAGGAACATTACATCCCCATTCTTCCAGGAATCAGATACAAGCAATATTTTTATAAAAGGCAAATTACATTTTAAGTTGAAAGAACTTTTTTTTTTTTTAAAGGTAATTCTAACAAAGAGTTTATACTGTCTTCCAAAGGAATATAATGACTAGGCAAGTACTAAAAATTATTTCTGGGAGGGCTTTTCACTGCTTGTGTGTTTAAAGGAATATCAATGGATACTACTGGCTATTATCCAAAACTCATGGGTAACACTTCGTAGATCTGATAAAGAAGGAAGAAAAAGTAAATTCAGACATAAAGGAAGAAAATGAGAGTAATATAATAATAATAGGGGCTTCAGCACCCCATTGACTTCAATGGATAGATCATTTAGACAGAAAATCAATGAGGAAACAGTAGCCTTAGCTGACACATAGGACCACATGGACTTAACAGACATATACCGAACATTCCATCCAAGAGCAGAATACATATTCTTCTCAAGTGCACATGGAACATGCTGCAGGAAAGGTTACGTGTTAGGTCACAAAACAAGTCTTAATAAACTTAGGAAGATGGAAATCATATCAAGCATCGTTTGCTACCCTAGAGGTATGAAAATAAAATCAATCACAAGAAGAAAGCTGGAAAAACTGAAAACTGTGGAGGCTAAACAATATGCTAATAAATAAACAATGAGTCAACAGAAAAAGAATAAATAAAAATACCTTGAGACAAATAAAAATAGGAACACAACAGTTCAAAATCTATGGGATATAGCAAAAATATACCTAAGAGGGAAGTTTATGGCAATACAGAGCCACCTTAAGAAATAAAAAAAAAATCTCAGACAACCTAACTTTACACCTAAAGGAATGAGAAAAAGAATAAGTAAAACCAAAGTTAGTAGAAGAAAGGAAATAATAAAGATAAGAGTGGATATAAGTGAAACAGAGACAAAAAAAAAAATCAATGAAACTAAGAGCTAGTTCTTTGAAAAGATAAACAAAAGTGCTAAACCTTTAGCCAGACCTATCAAGAAAAAAAAAAAAAAGAGAGGGCCCATATAAAATCAGAAATGGGAGAAGAGAAATTATAACCAATACCACAGAAATACAAAGGATCATAAGGCAGTACTACAAAAAAAAATTACATGCCAACAAATGGGATAACCTAGAAGAAATGAATAAATTCCTATAAACACACAATCTTTCCAGACTGAGTCCAGAAGATACAGAAAATCTGAACACACTGATGACTAGTAATGAAGTTCAATCAGTAATAAAAAAAACCATCCCAACAAACAGAAATCTTAGACCATCCTCACAGGTGTATTCATAAAAGATTTCAACTGGAGTTAATACCTATCCTTCTCAAACTATCCCAAAAGACTGAAGAAGAAGGAATGCTTCCAGACTCATCGTATGAGGACAGAATTACCAAGATACCAAAAGCAGACAAAGTGACCATAAAAAAAGAAAACTGCAGGCAAATATCCTCAAGGAAGATTGATGCAAAAATCCTCAACAAAATATCAGCAAACTGAACTCAACCACACATTAAAAGGATCAATCATACACTACAATCAGGTAGAACGTATTCCAAAAATGCAAAGACAGTTCAACACCCACAAATTCATCAATGTGATACATCAAACTAACAGAAAGGATAAAAATGATATGATCATCTCAACAGATGCAGAATTTTATCAAATGCAATATACAGTTATGATAAAAATTCTCGACAGCGTGGATATAGAAGGAATGTACCTAAGACAGACCCACAGCTAACATCATACTGGGTGGTGGAAGGCTGACAGCTTTCTCTTCCTCTAAGGTCAGTCCGAAGACAAGAATGCCATGCTCACCACTTTTTA